TCCCTTGGAGACCTGTGTGCCTGGCCCCCAGCAGCCCGCGTCTCTCAGACCGCCCTCCCTCCTCCTTCCTCTCTGCAGTCCGCTCCTGAGCGTCCGGCCGACCCTGACAATGCAGCCCGTGGCAGTCAATAAAGAGCAGGTGACACAGCACCCTGCGCCTGGTGGCCCTGCCGTCTCCATGCGGGCAGAGTGGGGAGTCGCGGAGAAGGGGCGCCGCGGCTCAGAGTGGGGGTGTGAAGGGGAGGACAGGGGCTCACCTGTTCCTGTCCCATCTCGTTTCTAAGTGACACGTGACGTCCTCGCTCCCAGTCCCTCCACCGGCTGCGGGGAGAGGTTTTCAGAACTCAGAGGGATGGAGGGAGGAGGGAAGAGACTGGGAGGTGGAGAGCTTCAGGCTCCTTCCCCAGTGCTCCTGGGAACTGGGTGCCAGGCGGGGCCTCACCTTTAGCCAGGCTCCCTGCCCCCAGGGGGCTGCTCTCCAGGCTCCCCTGGGGTGTCCGTTAGGAATCCTACCCCCTGGTTCCAAGGGATGAGAAACAGCATTAGGCGTGGCAGGACGCGTCTGCCTCTATTTGGCACCAGGCCCTGGACCCCAGGGGAGGCACCGCCCCCACTGCCTGTCCCTCCATGGAAAAGGCACGGGGTCGTCAGGGGCTTGGGGAGACCAGAGCGAGCGCCCCCACCAGGAGCAGGAGGCCTCAGTGTTCACCCGACTCCCTAAGGTGGGGAGGAGACAAGGCCTGGGGGCCCACAGCCTCAGGGCAGGGGTGGCTCAGTCAGGGGCCCTGGGAGGTGCACTGTGACCACAGAGAGGGTGAGGTGGGTGGCCAGATGGGGAAGCCAGCGGACATTGTGGCCGCATGGGCTCTGCCTGTGTGGTCAGGTAACTGGTTCTCTCCCAGGGAGCCCAGTGGACAGCCCTTGGGTGGTGCCCTCCCTCTTTCTGGAACAAACTAGACCCCAGAAGGGAGGACACATGAAGAAAAAATTTCCCAAAGTGATTCCTTTTCCACACACAGTGACACCGTGCGCTGTCATTTTAAGTGGAAAGCAACGAACACACACAGACACAGACGCACACATGCACACACCCCGTGTGTCTCCATCACTCTGGGCTTGGCCCCCATGTAAAGAAGGGCCCGCACCCCTGTGGAAGCTTCCCCAGAATCCTCCATTCCCTATCCGCCACTCCTTCCAGCAGGAAGGCCCCCACTCCTGCCAGTTAATCCATATCCATAAAGAACATGGGGTGCCCGTGTGGGAGGCAAAAGTGGCCTCTGCATTGGGGCTGGGGCTGGAGTCTCTGAGCTCCTCCCTCCTCCCTAGTCTCCTCAGAGCGGCTGTCCTCAGCGACGCCTTCACTTTTGTGCAGCCTGGTGTGTCATCGAACCAAAAGTAGGGGGTTGGGGTCCTGTTGGGTCCGGCTGCAGCCATAACTGAGCTGTCCTTAGAGGCCCGTGGCCTTGTGGTCACTGCAGTTCTTGCTTAGGCCTTGTCGTGGGCTGAGCTGTGTCCCCCAGTAGAAGCCCTAAGCACTTCAGGGTGTGGCTGTATTTGGAGATGGTTCAGGTTAAATGAAGGTCACTAGGTGGACCCTATTCCAACAGGATGGGTGTCCTTATAAGACATTAGGACACACACAGAGGTACAACCAGGTGAGGACACAGGGAGGCAACAGCCAACTGCAAGTGAAGGCGAGAGGTCTCAGCGGAAACCAGCCCTGCAGAGACCTTGATCTCGGACTTCTAGCCTCCAGACTGTGAGGCCATACACGTCTGCTGTCTGAGGCCCCGCCTGTGTATTTGTTCGGGGGCTGAGCTGACTACTGCGGCCTGAAGACACTGCTTTCGCTGGGCGGGCCTGCTGCTGACAGTGGCTCTGGGCTTT